TGACGCAACAGTACTTTACTATTCATTGATTACGTAGCTACTTGTGATAGTTTCAAGTAAAGGTACATCTAATTAATTTTTTCTTCTTTATAATAGTCCTGTTAAACTCGATGTTTTAATTTTGTTCTACTTTAAATTTTGTTAGGAGTGTTTTTCACAATATATCCTTTATCTTCTAAACTAATGTGTTTAATCACCTAAACGATTTTGGATTTTCATTCTGGTCATTATGTGACACAGGTGTACACATTATGTTGCCCATTGAAATTATAATTTGTTGTGTGATCAACACTACATTATTAAAGATACAAATGGTATATACGCTGATCTGTGGATGAACATATTCATGAAAGCCAAGTGTCAGTTGGTCACGCTCGATTTGTCCGAATTTCGTGAATTACACGAGTCCAATTCCATTTTTCTCCTATAATACTCCATCATATGATTGCCCGTTCCTATTTTATTTTTAGTTGAATTCAATTGCTAACATAGGCATCAACAGCTCCTAAACTTTGGCAATTTTTCTGCTATATAAATGTCTGTCAAGGAGGGAGTTTTTATACCAAGGACATATTTAGCAGCGAATGAAATTAATTTGCCGTTTGTTATGAAAGGAAGTTTTTGAATGATGATCGAGTAATTACAAGGAATATGGTTTTAATAGAACTATTGCAGTAATGCAATTCATGTGATAAGAAAATAACTGTGATCAATAAATGCTGGAAAGAGACACTCTTTAGGTAAAGGAGATATTGCTCATAATAGGCTTTGGTTTCCCGAAGCTAGAACTAGAAGGCCCTTTATTTTTCTTATATATGTTTACGGGCGGGAAAGTTGTAAATGTATATTGGAGGATTCAAATTTGGTAGGCTTTGGGTTCCCGTCATTTCTGACGTGCATTTATACTAGTTATAAATGAATTAACCAATCAAGATTTTTTCCCAATGTACCTATATTTTTCTTTAACTATACAGTTGCATGAGTTATTCCACATAGGAAGGAGGTGAACAACAAAATCAGTTAGTTTTTTATTTAGGTAATTTATTGATCAAGATTTCAGTTTCGTGGTTTAAAATTTGTTTTGTGTTTCAGCACCTGCAACTCTGAACTAGAGAAAGCAAGTAAAAGAAACTGTGGTAACTAAGGAAAATAATGTTCAAGAAAATGAGAAAAATCCAACTAATCAACAGAGTAAGTGATTAAGATTGATTAACATTAATGTCCTAAGCATGCAAACATTGTTGTTGCTTAAATTAAAATACCTTCCTACCATTCATCTTCTTACAAATAAATTTATCAAAAAGTATAAATGATTTTTGAAACTAATTAATAAACTTTGAAAGTAACATTTTCCTGTGACAAAAAATGTAAGTTCCAATCCTTGCAGTATAGATTACAGATATACAAATACAAAAATAGTATAGAGTATAATTACAGATGCAGCACTTCAAGCTATTAGGAATACAAAACAATAAATACAAGTACAAAAAAAGTACAGGTGTATTAGTAATAAGAATAAACAACAGGAAAAGTAAAGGTACTAATGTATGAAAGCAAAAGTATGGAAGATTGTTGTTTATGTAGAGAAATAGAGCTAGAAAAAATACATATAAATACAGAAGTACAAATACAAATATTTAAAGGTTAAGTAAACCATTTTGGTAACTTAAAAGATAAATACATAGCGATCCAGAAATGAAGGGGGCTTAGTACAAGTAATTACAATGAAGAGGTAGGATTAGGTACAGGTATAAAGGGATTAAAAACAGAGAAATTTGTACTAAAGGATTTAGTCCATAGGTGTGATAAAGGGATAAGTATATGTGAATACAAAAATAACAAGTGATTCATTTATAATTGTATTAAAAGAAATAAAACCAAGCATAAAAATGGTGACAAATGATGTGTCATAAAAGGGTGTGTACAGATCTGAATACTGATAGTTGACAAACAGGAACTGAGAGAAGTGGATTAACATGCATTGGGTAAATTTAAATAGAAAACAAGTTTTATACCTGTACATATTAGTGAAGGT